GTGTGTGTGTGTGTGTTTGCATATTTTGTCCATACCTGAGGGGCTGCAGCGGAGCGTCTTGTTGCACTGGACAAAACTGTAGGACAGACAGTGGAAGTGGAAACAATGGAGGGGAACAAGGTGAACTGAGAGAGGTTTTAGTTGCATGATCCAACTATGGATGTTAATACTGGAGTAGAGATGGAGTAAACCGTTATGGAGCACATAGATCAAGCAGGAATGTGTGCAAAGGTTTGAGAGGAAAAGGTTAAGATCAGACCAAAAGGGAAGAATTCAGAGGTTCAGAGGTCAGGAAATGGGTGCAAACACAGACAGAGGCAGTGGGGTGAAGATATGGACACGAGAGGGTTGAGGAGAGAGGTTCGATGGGATCCTAGTGGCTGGTGGACATGGCCCAGGCCCCCTCCATCCTCCAGACGGAGAAGGCGTAGCTCAGTCTTTCATGGGCCAGGTAGTTGCAGCTGGCCAGCTTGGCGTCCATCTCGTCGCTCTGCAGCACCTGGTAGAGGAAGTCGATGTAGCGTGAGGCCAGCTTCAGGATCTGGATCTTGCTCAGCTTGTCCGAAGGTAGCGTAGGGATGATCTTGCGTAGGGAGGCGAAGGCGTCGTTCAGTGACTGAGTGCGTTGACGCTCCCGCACGTTGGCGATGACACGCTGAGAATGGAGGTCTTCGAAGGGCTGGTCCAGCCGGGGGCCCAGCGGCGTGGGGGCCAACGACACCACTGTTGAGGGGCTTTTCTTCGTCCTCTTTGGCCCAGACGGCAGCAGGCTGGTGGGGCTGCCGGTGCTGCTCTCCTCTGCCTGAACAAGGCTGTCCTTCTTGGGGTAAGGGGAACGTTTTCGATTTCCTTGCTGGTGAGTCTTCTTCGATCCTCTTTCCAGTTCCTCTTCGCTGGCCCCCAGACCTCCTTCAGGGGAGTTTGTGCAGGACACCTCTTCTCTCATTGTACTGTCCACCAACAACCTTTTAACCTCCACTGCAAAGACAGGACGCTGTGAAGCTTTTTTAAAGCAACAACAAACCTGAACTTGACACGCTGTCGTAACAAGTCTTCTCTTTTGTCAAAGAAAGTTACGGCTTCTGAAGCTCCATCGGATTGGAAGTCGCTCTGGCTGTCCGGTTTCCTGGTTACCTTGTTAAATTTCTCACTTTCACATTCCCTTCTCAACCTGGCAGACAGAACAACAACAAACCATCTGACAGGCAGGTCCACCTCCGCCTCTTTTATACCCAAACGCTAACCCGGGGGCCTGCGGGCAGTTCTCTTTGGCTGAGCGGACTTCCAGAGGGCGTGGTTCGGCCAGAGCCAGGCAGAGAAGCAGGAAGTATGTGTTAGCTGGGCGGGCGATAGAGGAAGGGGGTAAGTGGCTCTATCAGCCAATAAGAAGAGCTGTGTCTAATGTTGCAGAGATGTCTGAGGCTTTATGGGTTCCAGATTTGGGCTGGAGCGTCAGTCCGCATGCACCCTTGTGTCTGCGTTCTCATTCATCAATTCATTATGTGGACAGAAACCATTCTAAACCTTTGATTTCTGCCAATAATCAATGTAAACTTTAACGCTGTATACTTATCACAAAGTATTTTCATTTACATTATAAATATATACATTTACATCTTTAAAAGCTTTTTCCTACAACAAATGTGCAAAAGTCATAAATCATGGGCGCTGATGTAGTGCTAAAAGTTTTTCATTTTGTCCTTTAACATGAGAACAAGTGTGAGTTCACATTAACATTTGTCTGCCATGGTTTTTATCATTCTGATAACCAGACACTATAAAAAAGAATTTGTGAAATCACGGGTCACAACATGGAGCGAGTCAATGAAAATACAGCAGATTAAGAGACTGAAGGAGGATTTATAGGTTAAATAATGTTCTTTATGATGTGGAATTTATGTTTATAAATGGCACAAATTATATAGTTTGCCATGACAGACCGTATAGTCCTGCAAAACCAAAAAAAGAATTTTTTCATAAATCTCTTTTGCCGCAGCAGCTTTAAGTAGATCTGAGAGAAAATGTGAGGTTGTGCAAGCATGCATCCTGGAAAGAATTTCACAAGATGAGCTTTTTCCTGACACATGAATGTCTCTGTAAATGCTGATGTACACTAAACTATACAAAAACCTCTTAAAGCATTCGTTAAACCAGGCACCTAACCAGTGCCTGGTTTAGAAAAGTTCTCAGTGAATAAACACCTCTAACATCCCTGCTGACATCAGCTGCCCCAGTCATCAGTGTTAGGTTGGGAAAGGAACACAGACAGGACCCTAAATAACCCCTGACCTCAGTGGCCCAGTGACCTCAGTCTACAGAGGTGAGAGAGCACCTAATTGTGCCATCCACAGCCTCGAGGCAGAGCAGACACATGTTCCTCCACACCGTGAACCCATCTGGGTCTGCAGCCACTTAAACACGTTTTCTACATGTTGGCAGTCATGACACAGCAGACATGTCTTGAGAGAAAAATGATAAGACATGACCAATGACTCATGTTTGTTCGATCTGTGTTTAGACACCAAGGTAGAACAATTTATAGTTTGGACAAATGACTAATTCTTGCGTAAATCTACCTTTGAATCCAAATCATTTCCCCAACATTGTGTCTGTTTATACCTTCATGCGTCATGACTTCAATGACTCATGTGTGGATCACTGCAGAGAAATCTTGTGGGGAGTTTTCCGCTACTCTAAGCTGTAGAAATCTGGTACTTTTTGATGACAGCAGTCTTTACATTTCAACGCCTCCAAACGTATTTTTTTTTTTTTTACAAGAGTTGCTTCATCTTTCATGTTTCCAAAAAATGATTAAAATTCCCTGTTCGTTGTCCAGAGATGTCATCTGACGTTGCAACAAGAGACAAGACGTCCAGAAACCTGTATTATTTACTAACAAAAGTTTCTTGGATTGTAACTAAATCTCGTATCCTTCTTGACACGCTGCTTGACAGCTTCTAGCCAACAATTTGGGTGTGATTGCCATGGCTTTTGAGGGAGCGTATGTGCAGAGAGCAGTTCAGAAGATTTTTGATGAGCCCCGTGATTGCACTGGTTTACATTTCATTCAGAGAGGGACGTTGAACGGAAAGTAGCTCGATCCCAGTTGGGTTCAATCAACTTGGAAGAGAAAAAAAAACTCATCTGGCCATCAAAGCAAGGCCATGGACAGAGACAGTGAATTATATGAGGTTGTATTTACATAACAGGCAAAGTCAACTCCAGGATTAACTGGTATTAGAATTGAGGCTTATTGGGAGCTCTGGTGGAGACAGTGGAGGGACAGGAAAGTCATTGTTACTGAGGCTAATCTCAGGAGCTGCCGATTACCTTTAGCGAAAGCGTGGCTTCGTGCCACCATCATGGAAAAAATGAGCTAACGAAGCGAGTAGGCCTGCAGGAATGTCGTGGCGCATAGAAGAACAGAAGGAGAGAGAAAAGAGAGAGAGAATGGAAGAAGAATAAGAAAAGGGGAAAAAGAAAAGGAGAAGAAAGGAGAGGGAGAAGGGGGAAAAAAGTGAGGCTGTCCAAACAGAACCAGATGCAGGAGTGTGGAGGCTCGTTTGATCTCTGTCCTCATAGGCTGATTGATGTTGCACATTTCATTTCCTTGTCAGAGTCTTGACATAATGTTTCACTAAACACTCAGGCCCTGCTCTCGTCTTCGTTTTATTTCCACGGGGGTCATAATTAACCCTTTCTGGAGATGAAAATAGATCATACATATATCAATATATATCAATATATATTGGCTTACACACACTGGGGGGGTGGGGCTTGGATATCAAAGACGACCAATGTATTGTCTGTTTCTGTCTCTACAACATATGGTTTGGTCCTGACTGAAATACTGCGCTGAAGTTCGGCCATGTTGAAACTTTTGAAGTTCTCCAGGAAAAAAAAAAAAGTTTCTTTAAGTTCGTAATGCAGTCAATTCAATTACCGTCATACACCGAGAGGTCAAAGCGCTGCGGTGACGTACTCAGCTGGTAGGAGAGCAGCAGTGTGACCAATCATAAATGATGTGTTTAGAAATCCATACTGGCTTGACAAAAGGAACTAATCATTAAATTCCTCCTCACCTTCACCCCGGGAGTTTCTTCACCCTCCTGGCTGCTGTTATTGATGTTTGCACACAGCACACTACACCGTCCTCCACCCCATACCCACCCTTCCACAGCTCCATCCCTCCCGAGGAGCCTGTAGTGGCACAAAGGCAGACATCTGGGACCCATTTCCCCCCTGGAGAAGCCCTTCCTGTGGGGTATCCACTTAGAGGGGTTCGGGAGGAGTGGGGAGGGGGTTGGCTGAAGGGGTGAAGGTGCATGGTATGTGGGGGATGGTGGTGATGGGAATGGATGGGGTGAAGGGAGGGAGCTCCTGCATAAGATTGAGGACAAGAGGTGTTGATGATAAGCAAATCTAATGCAAATTGTGAGAGGGTGTAGATTTTGGCTCAAGGTTTGACCAGTGAACACAGAATCAAGCCTTCACCTGCTTTTTCTAGTTGATGACGAATTAATTAAAGGAATAGTTCAACATATTGGAAAATATGCTATTTACTTTTTTGTTAGAGTTAGATGAGATGATTGATACCACTCTCACATCTGTCTGTCTCTAGCTTGGCTCTGTCCAAAGGTACAAAGTCAGCCACCCAGCAACTCTAAATCTTAGCAATTAACACTTCTTGTTTGTTTAAAAAAAATCAAAGTGTAAAAAATACATTTTTTGGATGGATTTTGATGCCTTAGGACTGAGACAGGCTAGCTGTTTACAGTCTTTGTTCTAAGCTAACCAAACCAGCTGCTGGCTCCAGATTTACATTTACTGTACAAACATAAAAATGGTATCAATCCTCTCATATATCTCTCTGCAAGAGCAAATAAGCTATTTCCCAGAATGTCAAACTATTCCATCAGATTTCAAATGACAAATCAAATTTATACAGAGATTACATTCAACGCTGTAAGAATGCGCCATCAAAGGCAGCACACAAATGTGTTTATAGATATTATAGCTTGTAAGATATTCTAACTTTTATTATATAACTAATGAGCAAGCGTCAACAAGAAGTCCTTTTTTATATATATTACATGTATTTAAATGTATAAATCTATGAATGGTGGGATCTGATGTGAACACAAAATCTTCGGACAAAATTAGAAGCGTTTTGGTCACATTAGAGATTTCTATCTGCGCTGTGTTTGTCTGGGCTCATATAGAGGACAGTGAGGTATCTCTGTGCACCATTCACATTATTTGAATTAAAATGTGACAGCTGTGGGGCTGTTTGTTCATGTTGCCAGACCACTGTCAGTCACAGTCAATCTGATCACACCATAGCGTCCTGATGAAGCAGATCTGTGAGTGTTAAACTCTACATGATTACTGAATTATAACTGATTGTTTTAGTTTTTTCAAATTTACTTTTGATTGTTGCCGATTCAGTCGTGAACATTAAATGTTATAGAGAAAAACTTAAACCAAGTTTCGGGGAGCACTCAGGAAAAAAATGGAAATCTGAACATCTACAGTTCCATAACAACATAACAACCAGCGAACTACGTCTGCTGATGAAGATAATATGATATTATTGAAAGCTCCAGAACAGCAACTAAATGAACCTCGAGGTGAGTGTTTTGTCAAATGTTTATAGATACCTTTAACATGCATGTTTTTCCAATAAAAAGTGCAACTCTGCATTAAAAACATTTCCCTCCCCCACTGCGTGCAAGCCTGTATTATTCTTGTTTAGCTGTGACTTATCTTCTCGTATTAGACCGTAATTTATCATAATATTTAGTGCTCAAGCTTCCTTCAAATGTCCCTGCTTTCATGTGTAATTTAGCCAATATCCTGCTCTGGCTCTGATTACAGTGTTTAAGTGCTGGGGTTCGTCCATGGCACATTACACACAGTCCCAGTGGAGCTCACAGCTGAGCTGGGGATACGGCATGCTGGGCTGATATATGCTAAGCAACAGGTTTGACTTGTATGGCTGAATCTGGGACATCCAGGGAAGAATCAGTGCATGATGGTTACGAGCAGACATCCACTGTGTGTGGCTGAGACAAATTTCAGTACCACTTTTTAATAAGGCACTCTCATAATTCGTTAATAAGAACACATTTGGGGTTGCCATGTAGGGAAAACCCTTTTCCTTTAGTAATAATGTGGTTATAAATGTTGGTTGTCATTGATAGATTAGTTATTAATGAATATATTTTGGTCCAAATGCTCCTACAACCCTTTTCCAAAGAGTAAGTGGATGTACTCCAATTAGACACAACCTGGCAAACCAAATGTTGTTATTTTTAATGGCTTAAAACTTTTCTATGATGATTTTCTTTTCTAGTAAATTATCTATTTTGTATGTTAATAAAGCCATTAGATGTAAAGTCCTTATAAAGGCTCATAAAGCCGAGTTTCTTTGGCAGAGAAGCAAAGGTCATATGTCAAACATACATTTAAAAACAAGTAGCAGACGTCACATAAAACTTGAGGCTAGATGTGTGTGTGTGTGTGCGTGTGCGTGCATGTGTGTGTGTGCGCTTGTGCGTATTTGTGTGTGTGTGTGTGTGTATGTGTGTGTGCGCTTATGCGTATTTGTGTGTGCGTGTGTGTGCGAGGTTGCTTGAATGTTGCGTCATATCATGCCCATATGTGCAGGCAGCAGGTCATAGATCTCAGTGTGTGCATGTGATAATGTGATACAGGGGCAACACGAAAGCAGACCAGTTAGACAGGATACTCGCTCGTTGCATTTATACATGACAAAGAGCAGAAAAACACTGTTTATTTCAGATAATGCTGACCCTAATCAGCAAGGCAGAAAGACGCTGACGTGATGGAGCGCTATATATAGAAAATCATCACATGAAAGTAATTTTCACTCCTGAGTCAGCTATTCAAATTCAACATGTTAGGTTCCCTGTCTTTGTAAACACTAATAAGACTCTCAGTGAGTCAGCAGATCAGAGCTGACCATGTGGCTGGTCGGCTTGGAAAATCCTGTTTCAGCGTGAACTTCAGAAATGCACAAGTTTTATCAAGCCACAAGACTGCTGCTTACAGAACACAACTTGTGCACCTGAACGCTGACAATAAAGTCTAGAAGTAAGGCGACGAGGCCCAAACAAGAATATGAAACCAGTATATACACAAATGTAATAAAACACCATGAGTGAAATCAAAACCACTATTGGGTACATGTGGATCAGATCCTCTCTCTGTACAAATGACCCCTTGTTTTGATATAAACATTGGGTACAATGTGCTGCAATAAATCTGAATATCCTGATATTGTAAGGGCAATGAAACCCCTTTTCCTTGACTCTTCAAACCACATCAATTTGAAAATAATTTCTTCAGATAAGGATCCTGTAAGGTCTCCAATCTCACACTTCAAATACGGGTTACTGGAAGCGATGTCAACCTGGGATCTCTGGGATTAGGCACTATCACGCATCCACTGCTGTCAAACCCACAGTGAAGCACTGTCTGCAAGGTAGAGAGGAATGCTGCGTTTCTACAACAGAGCTATTGCATTAGAAACATCAACAGAGCCAGCTTCAAAGGGGTACGCCTTCACATTGAATCAATCCCCACTTCCATTAGATTAGATGAATTTACCAATGTTACATTGCGCTAACGTTTCTTTATGGTTTCTCAAATCCCCTGGCTCTGGTTCTTGTTCCCCCTGTGAAGCCACTTCAAACAGCCTCTGCCATGGCATATCCCTTTGTGCTCTAAAACAGCAAATATGTGTCTCTCTAAAATGTTTCAGATGCGAGCTTGTAGTGGTCCCAGAGGCACAGACAGCATCGCACACAGAAACACAAGAGTCAGATGAGGAAAAAACAATGGCTGAGTGTAAAGGTAGGGCATGTTCTGTGCTGTTTACAGTCAGGTCTGGAGAGAGGGTTTGACTGACTAATGGGAGAAGATGGTAAAGACAGACAAATACAGAGAAAATAAAAGGAAGGCAAAAAAGCAGATAGTGTGGGAGAAATCTTGCAGCAGTAAATCAGTGTGGTAATAAGGAGAGACGGGAGGGGAGGGGGTCTGCAAAGGTCTAGAAACATATGTTTCAGTTTGTAAATAAAACAGTAAATTGCTATGGATATTGCTTAAATATCTGTGGGCTTTGTACCACGCTTTGCGGAAGTTCCTCGGAAATCATTCTGGGACTGCCTTCTTAAAATGCCAAAGCGGCTTCTTAATGTCAAAGAGGCCATCTGGTTCTCGACGAATTCAAGATGTTTGCTTTTCATTTTGCTTTTTTCCCCTCCTGATGCTTCTTTTTTTAGATCAAATGCTTCACTTTTTGTATCATTAATACCAATGTTCATATTTCACAGTGGAACCGTTCGCCAGCACGCATCACAGACGCAAGTCCAATCTGTGAATCCCTGTTCACCATTTTATCACTGGTGGAAAGTAACTAAGTACTTTTAAGTACAATTTTGAGGTACTTGTTGTTTACTTGATTATTTCCATTGTATGCTACTACCTCAGAGGGAAATGTGAAACTTTTTACTCCGTTTATTAGACAAATATAGTTACTGGTTACTTCGAAGACAAACATATGATCAACCTAATAATGAATAGAATAAATAAAGAATAAAGAATAATGATGCATTGTTATAGCATATAAAGTAGTTAAAATTATCTTCACATCAACCAACATTAAAATGCTGCTTACGCATCAGTAATAGTAACGCAGCACTATAATGTAACACTCCTCTCTGCCACCTAACAACTACATTGGATACTTTTGACTAATTTTTTTGCTGATACAATAGTACAGTGCAGGACTTTAAGTTTTAACGAAGATTTTTTTAGTGTGATATTACTACTTTTACTTAAGTAAAAGATTTTAATACTTATTTCACCACTGACTGATAAAAACAATACCCAGCACAGAGAACGCTGACAGCAGTGGGAGGAAGTATTGATCTGCATTCAAAGTACAGAAGTACTGGCAATGAAATGTTTGAAGAGCAAAAGTAAAAGTCTGTGTCAGTGTTGCAGTGTTGGATTGTGATTCATTAATATAGATACAGTACTTTAATGTACTGTACAGCTGGTAAAGACAGAGCTAATCTGAACTACTTCACATACTGTCGGGTTGTTTAATCTATAACAAAGCATCATGTTTTTTTTTTTAAAGTAACTAAATCTGTCAAATAAAGGTAAAAAAACATACAAAAACAAAAACATTTCCCTCTGATATGTACAACAGTGGATCAGTTATAGCATTAAATAGAAATACCCAAGTAAAGTACAAGCAGCTTCAAATTGCACTTAAGCACAGCACTTGAATAAATGTTACTTTCTACAAACCGACAGACAAAATAAATATGTAACCCTGAAAAAAGAGCACGAAATTCAGCTGTAACTACTCATCGTAACGTGTCACTGAGTACACAAACACAAACAGGTCTGAGAGCACAGGCACAGGTGAGTGTTTGCGTCCTTTTTTTAGATACTTGAATCCTGACATCATCTGCTTCAAAGGTGTGCATGTGTGCAAAGCAAAGGATTAATTTTCCCATGTAGGTTGTTTGTTATAGATTTTGATTCATCTGCTGCTCTTTAATTACACAGGATGTTTAGGATAGTTGTGTTATTTGAAAGTATAAACTATTGTTTCCAGTCTCACCGCACTCTGCCAGACTGCCAGTCAACACTTGAGACAACTTCCTTCCTTGATTTGGGTAGAAAGTAGTTCCATAATTGAATAAAACGAGACCCCTCCCTCTCTTTACATACCGCACAAACACACACACACACACACACACACTCGTTTTACAAGGCTGGTGTATAAACTTAATAGGACGCATTTGGTTCCAAAGCCCCCAGCTTGCTCAGTGGAAAGTGAGCCGGATTGTTTTTCAGTTTCTTAATGTCGAAGTTTATAACGGCCAGATAAAAAATGTTGCCATGGTGATTTAACCACAACATCGCAATTACCTTGATGCAATGAGACTCTGGAGGCTTACAAACAAACCAGTGTAATGCAATTAAGATATAAGTACCACCAAAAATGTCCTTAAAACACAGAGGAAGGATGCAGGAAAGCAACAAAGAGAGTGAAATAATGATAGTGGCTTGTTGAGGATCAAAGTTACTGATACTTCTAGTAAATAATTAGACACTATGCCAGATTCACTTTCCTTTATACTTTGCGTAGTGGTAGTTTTTTCTTTTAACAGCTGCGGGATGAATTCAAGAGAAACATTTTTCCACCAGATAATTGTCCTGTAAATGAATAACTTTATGAGTTATAATGCACCAAACACTGATAGCGCTGTAATAATGCAGTCACATATTTTTCACATCAACTTCAAAGTCCTTCTATCAGGCGGCTGCTTTAACAAAATCATACACCAAAAATTCTCTGCACCCACCCCCTACCTTCCCTTTGAGGGACAAAATAAAAATGTGGATGGGAGGAATAATTGCCTGACTTCAAAGTGCAGGTTATTGACCTGCGTTTACTGTTGCGATTGTAATGCTGTGGGGTGTTTTTTTCTTCATGAGTGTGGCTCGGGTGGGCAGCAAAATGTGGTTCATTCCTATCATGGCACAAATCCCACTCTAATGCCCAACACTGACCCTCCTGACCTGGATTAAATATGAAGAAGAATGTGTAGCACCTTCAGTCTGCCTCTGTGACAATCTCTCGTGTTACATGAAAGTCATAAGGCTTGTGAAGAAGATAGTAAATTGTTTTTGGTTTTTTACATTTCTTTGCAAGGGAATTCAGTGCGTTGGAGGAACCGAAACTGACACATTTCTTCTTAACAAAGAGGAACAATCAACCACTGACATATCTATTTTCAGATTTAAACGCAAAGACGCACCACAGAACAGGGGACGTAAAAAAAAAAACATGTTTTATTAAAGTGACTCTCAGACACACTGGTGTGTATTCACATGTATCACTCTTAATTTCTGACACAGTAATGTACAGAGATAAACATTTAAAGGAAATCCAGCAAAATAATCTCTTTAAGCAACAATAGAAATGTCATAAATGGTTCAGATGAGGACACAAAGCAACATGCATGCACATTAGTGGTATCACTACTGCTGTGAATTAAAGCCATAACTGAGGCTCATTTTCACACTCAGTTATTTTTTCTTTAAGTGTTTTTATCACACTGATACAAATAATACAAAAATCATTCTTTTACATTAAAAATGCCCCTCTGTGGTTCAGAAATATATTAAACCAGGACATGTGGTGCTTATTTGGAACTGCATATGAAAGCCTTCATGTTGATGCTGCAGGATTTTGGGTGACCTCTCCTCTGCAAGACCCTGATGTACATCAACTTTAAAGTGTTGTATTCACCACAGGATTGATGATGCCTTGTGATATGCAGATCACCTGACCACTGTATGTGCAACTGGTGATGGGAAAAAAAAATCTCTTCATCATTCATTAAACCAGAAACAATTAAATAGGATACGTAGATGAAAGTTGGGATGTCAAGCACACATACTGTACATGGTGATTAATTGTTGGAAAGGTGACACCCTCTTGTGGCCACAACATGAAACTACAAGTGATTATTACCACTGAGGAGTGTGTTACAATGCCGCAATTCCCTTCACTCAGACTCATGGTTTAAAAATTACCATGTATTGGATTTATTTCGCCAGGAGGAACTTGTGCAGATGTACGACTAAACTGGGTGCTAAGGAAGTGAAAATGCAAAATCTATCAAGGATCATAGAAAACAGCACTGGATTGTCTGTAAAGTCAACAACAAACCCTGCACACATCATAAAAAAAGAGAGGAGGTTTGCAGGAAACGGTGGCCAAGTAGACAAAGGAGTAACCAGCGTCAGGTTGCTTATCCACAACACAAAGTATTTCAACTCATCCTCTGATTCCTCTTCAAATGCCCTTCATCACGTTTAGGCTGCGACACTCGCAGGCTGGGAGACCAGCACAGTGAGTGTACTCCAAAGTCTGTGTAGTTACGCGATGCCCTTAGAAGTCACTGAGGATGCTGATATCAGCAAACTCTTTGCGGTAGCGGTGAGCGCTCAAGGCGAGCAGGAAGGACCACTTGAGGCTCATGAAGCTCCACACACAGGACAGGTAGAGGCTCCGAGGGTCAGTCAGGGCTGTGGGAGGGAGAGACACAGATTAGCATTCAGCACTCTGTTGGACCAGAGCAGTGTATTTCTCATATTAATGTAGGCACCTGGCCAAATGTGCAGTAAAAGGCATCACAAGGATCTTTGCAGCATTGTTACAATACATGGCCAAAAGAATGTGGACACCCATCAAAGTGCTTGGACATTACATTGCTGCTGTAACAGCTTCCAGTCTTCTGCAAAGGTTTTCTACTACATGTTGGAACCTGACTTTCTCCTATTCAGCCACAACAGCATCAGTGGCGTTGGGTGAAAAGGCCCATATTTATCAAAACCTGACTGTTTGATCACTTGCGGTTATGCTCTGAGCAGGAGATTAGGATTTACCCTACATCTGCAATTTTAAATGTTACTAAATGTTACATGTCATTTTATTATTTCTAAAGTTAATGTGTTTGTGTGATATCTTTAATATCCCCAGTAGCAATTAACATTTGAAATTAGCAACTATTATATATGTAGAAATTGGGATGAATACAGATAAAATAAAATAGCTGAAATGGAAACAAAAAATCTAATTAAAGTGCAGACAATAAAAACATATGGAGAGGGAAAAAGAAAGAAAACACTGCCAGCTTTGTTCTCAATTGAACAACTTATAAATGTAAAAAAAAAGGGCGGTGTAACTTTCTATCAAATGGTCAAATCAAATGCGAATAAAAGGTTAGACCCTATTTCTAAATTATACATATATTAGCATAATTATTATACTTCTATCATATATGATTATTATTATAATTTTGTACAATAACTCCAGAACGTGTATCATATATTAATAATATAATTTTAACTGCACTGCATATTTTGAATAAGAGGAATCACATTTTCTTAATACAGAAACACCAATTCCCCAAAGGGCATTCTGGGAATTGCCTAAAAGAGGCAGATTAGAGTGCAACTCCACCGCGACTCTCCAACCACTCTTGTGACTTATCGGGTCTTATCAGGTATCCAGGTTCTTTCAGTTTCTATCCAGCCTTTTACTTTATTCTAACTTCACCTGCAACTTTTAGTATTTTAGTTTAATGAGACTATTAACAGTACTGCATGTGTTGCTGTAAAAATAAACTGTAAAATAACAATCGGACACTGTGGGTCTCCAATAAAACACATTTTGAATGTTGGGGCAGTTGGTTATATGTGTGTGTTCAGTGTGATGACAAACAGGTCCGATTATACCACAGCACATAAACACATCTGGTAAAGAACAATACACAACAAGTTATGTGAAAGAGCAAAATGATGAAGAACTTACAGTCCTTGTTTTTGACGGCAATAGACATGAAAGTGATGAAGGCCACGACTGCCAACAGAGAGAAGAAGACACCGATAAACAAGAAGAACTTAAGGCCCTTCAGCCAGGTCCTCCAGTAGTCCTGCAGGTACATGATGTGAGTGATCAGGGTCCAAAGTGCCAGCACGCCTGAGGGACAAAGTAAAATCACTTTTTAGACACAAATGTTTTCACCTAATAGCCTAAATACAAATTGATACAAACATTTAGTTATGTAAAAAAACAACTTCCCGAAATGTTAAAACTTTTTTCTGCAGTTGCAATAAGGGCCTGAAAGTACTACTGAAATACTGCATTCAAACGCTGCTTTCTTTCCTCTATTTTATAACAAACCCTAAAGACAAATAATGAGCAGACATGAACGTCATGAAAACCATGTGAATGTTTCTTTATTTAAAAAGCTTGATTTTCAGCAACTGACATTCAAAGCCTCGATGTCGTAGTTTCCTTGAATGCAACAACAAGGAAAAGTTTTCAAAATTGCAGTCTGTTGATGAATTACTTGGAGCAAGTTTTAAATCTCATATATTAATAAAATGAATAGAAACCAGGAGCAGCCTCTAAAGTCTGATGCTATGTTGTAAAGTGTAAAATGAGCCTTTAAAGACAACACACTGACACTAACTGATCACATGTAGCAGCCACTGAGTTTTGGTGGTCATGAACTTATGGTGGTATGATGGATGAGTTTGCATTTTAAGTGGCAGGCACATCATGACATAGCATTTTTCCGATGAGTTGCTGTGTCAATAAATCACACTTCTTTCTTCACGTTCCCCTTTTTTTCCCTACATCCACAGTGTTTGAATCTCTGCCACATGTTAAGAGTTAACTGTTCACCAAGCAGTAACAAACCTCACTGAGTCTGAAACAGTAACAGGAGGAACTGAACTGTGGTGATCTGACAGCAGCTTGTACGTCAGTAAATATTTGACAGGCTCATGCATTATGTGCCAATTTTTTGTTGGGGAAAATAAATTATTTGTTATTTTTTAGGTTACAGCCCATTTACATTTAAAAAGTGTGTTCACTTATCAGTTACCAGTCATATGTCATACTGGTGTCAGTCTGTCGGGGAATGGGGTTAACTTAACACACGCAAGTCACTAATCTTAATAATAAAAAAAAAACATTTATGATCTTTGTCCTCGTCTTTAATAAAATCACAACTCCAGGCGAGTCAGCTCGATCTTTGGCACTATGCATGTTCAACTCAGAACATCCTGTGAACGGATGTGTGCAGAGGTTATAGATATGGACTTGCTCAAAGGTCAGATCCACTAACATAATACAGCTCATTGCATAATTGTGCTTGAACCATCTTTTTTGTTAGAACAGGATCTAACATTGTCTTTTACAAATTCACAAAGCTGCGCCCAAGTACTTCCAAATCTGTATTAAAACTCACAACCACACTTACTCCCAATGAGTCCAGCCTCTGAAGATCATGCTATTGTCATTTTACCACAGTAACATTTAGTCTACATTCCTACCATTTGCATCCTTCAGTTTTGTGTTTGAAAAACAATAGTTTTTATTCATTTATTTTCTATTCATATTATACAAAAAACAACATATATAAATGTCTGAACAATACTTATTATCTCCAATAATTACTAATAGTCACACAGTTTTCCATGACTCTTAAAGCAGCATTTGGTCATTAATGTTAAAAGTGGACCCTTGTACATTAAAAACCTGTCAGTTATCTGCTGTATATATTGTCCCAATATCAAAAATAACAATAATATGATTGCATGACACTGCTGACCCATGTCTGCCCTTAGAAAACAAGCTTGAACTGTGATCTCTGTCTAACTATAGGCTCATTTTGTAACTGGGGCACCTTCAGCCTGAGGAGAGTCACCGGTGTTACTGAAGGCTGGAATAAAAACACCACTTGTTTACTATCTCTTGTTTATTCATTACCTTTCATTTATATATCCCTATGTGCGTGCAAAATAAAATAAAAACACATGTAGCACAAAGGGAAGAAGCAAACAGTTGCAGACAGTGTTGACTCTACCTGACAGTCCTCCCATGGCTGCAGTCCACTGCTGTCTGAACGCGATGTTCCACACCAGGAAAGCGGAGAAGCCCACGAGCACGCCGCACGATGCATACCCGATACTAATGTATGTTTTATTAACAGCCATTATCACAACAAAAACAACAACAACAACAACAACACTAAGGTGTTAAGAAAAGCGGGGACACGAGCACGACCAGACGAGGAGCAAGTGTGTGTGTGTGTGTGTGTGAGAGAGAGAGAGAGAGAGAGAGAGAGAAAACAGGGACCTCAGTAATTTCAAAACAACTGCATCCGGTTGATCTTCAAACTGCCCAACAGGACAGAAACTGCGACCTGCTGACTAATAGTTGTTGTCACACACACACACACGGGGGTTTAAGTGTGAAACATGACAAAGCGTTTCTGATGGAAAGTGTGGTGTTTTTTCTATACGTCATCAGATATTAACCCAAAGAGATCCCGTTAATCTGAGACTGAGTGACCACAGCGCCCCCTACAGGACCAGAGGGGGAGTGAACCCTTGTGGTCTGTTCACATGACTACCTCATTGTTTGGGGGGGGGGGTCATAGTCAGCAGTGCTGTGTGTCAACTGCTGAATCAGCCAAATATTTCTGATGGAGGTGACAAAAGACAAATATATATATATAATTATTATTATTTATTACACTATACATGGAAATAGTTCATGTTTTATGGGTTATGCATGAACAAATACATTAGATCTGCAGTTAATCAAATTATCAAATATATTAGCAACTACGTTGTAAAATGAAAAACTGATGAACTATCATGCTGACTTAAACAGTGATACTTTTCTTTTTAGCTGTTTAAGAGAGGTGGAGGTCTACAGGAACCCCAACACAACATTAGGGTTAAGGCTAGAGACCACTTGAGTACTAACACTACATTTGGTGAGATATAAGGTTTATATTTGAACATTCAAACCTTCTGCTGAAGGTAATGCTGTTTCAGAACTACAATCACTGTTTTGGTAGTGAATTGAAAGTTCAAATTTGTACCAACCTTTAAAACTGTGGTCTTTTATGAGTTATGAGAGCTGAATAAGTGTTGCAGTGAAAGGACACACAAGAGGGGAAAGCAGTTAAACAGAATTATTTAGGTTTTATGTAAAAGTATTTATTTTGAACATTCAAATCTTCTGCTTGAAGTCTTGTTCAGTTTAAGCAGTGCAGTAACATTTACAATGCGTTGTGCTTTGGTAATCAAATGCCCCTTTTGTGTCAACATCTGAAACTGTAATGCGTAAAGCATACTGTGATTAAAAACTTGATTGAACCCAAACAACATGAGAAAGAACGCCGAGACAATTAACTGATCCACAGAAAATTAATCAGCAAACATTTCACTAATCAATCCTACAAGTCGTTTTTTTTTTTAGGAAAAACATAAAATATTCCTGTTCCAGTTTCTGAAATGTGTATAATAGCTGGTTTTCTTACTCTTGTATGACAGTAAATTGAATACATTCAGGCATAACCAATGAGAGCATCGGCTCAGGGAAACTGAGGTAGATACTTTTAGCTATTTCCTAGACTAAACAATTAATCGAATAATCGAGTAAATGATCAGCAGATTCATTAATAGTAACTAATAATTGAAGCAGGTGCTGCTAAAAAGAGGACACATTACCAAAAAACATGAACTTTCTTTTAACGGGACTGATTGATTGAAACTAATAATATATTAATTACACATTTAGTAATGCCATTAAAGCATTAGTGGTCAGAAAGTATCCCATTCACGTAATTTGCAGTCTGTTAAAACTCACAACCAACCACCTGAGGGGATAACAGCATGTAGAGTACGACAGCAGTGTGACGATGCCACAAGCACTCACAATGTGACATCAGCTTTAAAACAGACTTGGCAAGTAGTAATAGAAAAAGAATTCGTCCAACTTCTTCTTCATGCTGTTGCTGATAACCTTGTCTCTGTAGATGCGTTGAACTAGTATGTCTTCTCTGGAGAGCACCAACAGATCACACCACGACGTGCCTGCTACCATCATCTCTACTTGGATGTGCCAATAGTTTGTGTGGTTCTTCTTCACTTCCAAGACTCCGTCCTGGGCGACCAGGAACCCGCAGTCAACCAAGCTCTGGGAGCTGATGCATTTGACATGCACCAGCCCGAAACTGGACTTCTCATTGGGGTCGTACACCAAACCGTCAGGCCGCACACCCAACCATGGAGCATTTGGATGGACAATGAAACCGCAGGGGTACCAGTTGACACACAGATTCCGACAGTATACCCGAAGTGCTTCATTCTTTATTTCCTCCTCTATCTGTGCCGACTTGCACCTCGGTGGTCCTTTATGTAACTTGTATACGAGGTGCTCCGCATGGCTCCGTCCTGGTTTGAGTGTGCAGATCTCTCTGAAACGACTGGTCAAACGCAGCTTCTGCAGCTCCTCTGCCGACTCCTTGCGTCCCCGTGTGGATTGCTCCAGACTGTGCGCTTCCTCCCAGGTGATCTGCATGACGTCCACGTGCTCCTGCTCCCTGGCACTCAGCGTAGGAAGAGCCGATACTGGCTCCAGTGTGTGATAAGACAGGGGAAGCAGCGGTCGAGGGGGAGCATTGTCATTAGTCATGTAATCCTGACTTGATGGCAACGGGCACTGGTAGGACAGTGGAGAACCTTTAGGGACTTTACCAAAAGCACAGTCCACTAATTCCACATTCGCAGTGAGGCCCATTTTGGTTATCAGAGGCTTCTCGTCATCGGGAACACCCTTGAAGGCCTCAGTGAGCCTCGCCAAAAAGGACTGGCAGTCAGTTGGAGTGGATATGAAAGATTTGTAGGGCACCATCCTGTATGAAACCCATTAATATTATTATCTGTGTAAGCAAACGGGTAGAGCTGCATCAAAAAACTGGAGTCATAGTCTCACTCTTACCTCGGCAATTCTAGCAGGGTTTTCTGCAGGCAGTGCTTTGACTTCTTCTGTTTTATAGCACGATTTCCACCCAAGAGAAGAAAAAAATCATTATTTCATAGTTCCAAAACTATTCCTTAAGGTCTTTGAGATGTTTTCCCACTGTTTTTAGATAATAATTTTCCAGGATATTTCGAGGACTTCTTCAGGCCTAGAAACTATGTGCATCTTTTTGTGGAAGTCTCATTTCAAAAGGGTTTTGTTAGTTCATGCTGTCAATTACACAAAAGAAGAGACTGAGAAGAAAACCTCAAGTTATACTGATGGGACCGACGTGGTAAATCTGGATTTCTTTGGATTTCTTGGTTTAAGAGCTGCTTCTACAAATTTTCGAAATCAAAAGTATTGATTTACTGGTTTCCGAGTGACCTCTGGAAGCAATTATCGAATGAAAATGAAACACTGAACATGTGATTCTCTATGATTTTCCTTTACCTGTAATGTTAACTGCCAGCTGGTCTATCAACATTTACCAAAAATAAAAGTAGGGATCTAAAACACCTATTACAGTTTATATAGTAACCTCATTATAAAGTTGTATGTTAAAAAGACATCTGGGACAACTAAGTTTTCTCCAGAACAATTTGCTCTATTTTGTTATATTTGGACTTTCTCGTGGCTGCAGAGCTGTATTAATGATTTTTAGGCTTTTGCAGACACAGCTGAACACTGCAACAAACTATACACATACACTTGGGCTACAAGTGATTGATCAGTGTATCATTAATTTACAGTAGTTTAACTGCGCAGAAGGTAACAATATATTGCTATATGTGAAAAAGAAATGGTCGAATAAAAGGAATTTCTTGGCACTGTTGTGTAACTTTGATTAGCACCCAGTGGCTACCAGGTAGAGTGTGCTCAGTGTGCTGATGTCAATTTAGTTAACCTACAAATAACCATGCAGATTCATTTGACCCCAATCATCACAGTTTCAGTCGATCAAGATTTTCTTTGGTTGACTACTTATCACAATGTCTTAAAAATGCTTACTTGGCCTGAACGTCAGCTAAAAAAATATTCAATTTACAGGAATATGAACAGGAAAAAAAGCAAACAACTCTTCACAATACACCCAATGGCAACCCAAACCTCTGCTCTGTAACGAAGGAGGGCAGGAACAGCTACAGAAAGCTTAACTACTACATAACTTGGCTTTCTAGAATGTTGTTCTGCCATTCAGACACAAGGTTAATGACTGATGTGTGGAAATAATATAAATTCCAAAATAAAGGACAGGGAGATGACGTGTGTATATTTGATGCAATAAATAAATGTGTTTCTTAACAAAATGTGAGGTGAGGTGATTGTTGTGCCATTTTAAAAGTATCAATATTACATGGTATCATATTGTCCCATGTCTAATCACAAAGCTTCTCCAGCCTGTCACAGTCAGATTTCTTCATCAATTGCTTTGGATCTTTGGTTTTGCTCAGGAATCAAAACGAGCTTACCTTTTTTGTTGCCTTTCTATAATGTTTTGAGGGTTCCTGGCTTTTATTTGAGCTTCCTTCACTCCTGGACAGGTGTTGGAAATCTCTGACTGCATCTAAGTACTCGCCTTGATGGTCCACTTCATCAGCCGAGATAGTGGCTGAAGAGTCGGGGGTCCACTCCACCACTTGGATGTGGTACGAGTCAGTGCTGAAGTGTTCTTCTTCTTTTGGCTCATTTTTCACACAAACTGTAGTAATGCCGTTATCAGCTTCCCCCAGACTTTGTTGTTGTTCTGATCCCAAATTTATGTCATATTCAGTTTGCTCTTGTTTAGGTATTTTAGGCAACGGCTCTGATGTTTCCTGGCTCACCCCAGTGTTCAACTCAGCAGGCTTCTTTCTTCTGACATCTGTGGTTACTGCAGTGTGTCGACTAACATCTATTGAGGGGGAAAAGAAAAACACCAGTATTTACCAACTAAACATTTTTTTCTGTAATTTTGAGTATAAAAAGTTTATAGCAGTTCACGATGTTGGACCCTTAAATCTGTAATTCTTTCTGCACACTGGAAAACTATTTTGCTATTAAAAACTATTAGAGGGATATTTATATTATATTGACAGATTATAATAGTTGACACAATAATATTTAGGCAGCATTTAGTTCATAGTTTTATGAATTTTGTTAAGTAAAATCTAAGTCTGCAAAGTAACTATAGCTGTAAAATAGAGTAAGTTTTGTCTTTTAATTTTGCTATATGCACTTTATTTGATAATAACCAGAGATTTACACTCTATATGTTTCATGTTTTCATATTTTTATTTATTTTTATTTCTAATGTGTTATAACAGTTTAAGACCACAGCACGAAGTCTGTATACAACACTAAATCAAATGTAAGTTAACTTACAAACTACATTTACATGTAGCATCGTATTGGACGGACTGAAGTGGACGTTTTATTTAAACTCACACATAAACAAACACTTGAGACATGAAATAAAAGACTGTCACTGTCAGTTTGACATTGTTTACTTCTCATTATGTTGTTTAGTTTGCTCCTCCATTTTCAGGTGGAAGCAGAGACACAATAACTTTGCCTTCGTGTCACTACCACCTCATGTTGAGTTGTAGTAAGTAAATGTGTTAAACCACAGTGACCGACCTATCTTGGGTAACTTTATCTCGGGACTGAGCACCATGTGCAGCGTGTTCCTCAGACGTTTGTTTTCCTCGTACAACGCCTCCACAATAGTTTCAACCTCTCCGAATATCTCCACGGCAACGGCGGTAAACCGCTCGGTTAGAAAGCTCCGGAAGCTCTGGTGTCTGGTGTTAGACATTTTGAACACTTTGTTAATGTTACAACACAAATACTTTGAGTTTAGTTTAGTCCTCCAAGACTAGCATCAGGAACGAGAACAAAACGGCACTTCCGCTCTGAAGGTTTTCTTCTTGGTTTAGTTTAATGGCGGAACCGTGGTCTATAAGCTGCATACCGCCACCTACTGTACCGCAGCACGAAGCGTGTGTTAATGTTCTCCATGTTACAACGTGAGCAAGATGAGTTGTGTTAGTGATATGAAGCTACTTTACATCGTCATATAAATAAATAAATACATTTAAAGAATAATAATAAAGAAAGTCTTCTTGTCTCATTAGCGCCCTCTTCATGGTGATCGATAAATAAACGTGTTACCAATGATATTTCTTAAGAGACTATTTAAGTTCCATTAGTGTTGGCTCATTGGAAGGACTCTGCTGCACTAAATGCTACAGACTCTTAAAAAGTATCATTGGCAATGTCTGTGTTTATCCTATTATTTCATGTCTAAATGGCCGCTGTGAAACAGGACTGTTAGATATAAATCAACATAATGCTTTATAACCACGTCTATGGTATATTGTATATATTATACTGTAGTTATACAGGCATTACAATATAGTATACATGTCAACACACACCAGAAGTTCAATTCCATTGATAATGAATGAAATGTATGAGTAAATCTGAACATGAGATCAAAACAAAAATAATCGTCTAAACATTTGTTTTAAATGATTCTCATTGTATTTTATATTAGATTTGACGTCTACTGGAAATAAATGAACCTTCAGTACAGCTTTAAAGATTTTTATTTACATGGAATATTTTACAAAAATACCAAAATTTTATTCGATTTGTTTGCATTTTACATGACAAGTTGAAAAAAAAAAACATTAAGTTACGGTCAGTGAAACTCATACTTATTTTACAGATATATATCAGTAACAAAGTTCGAGTTGCATTTGTCAGTATTTTGTTTTTACTTTGAGAACATCATTACTGACAGCTCTTTTGTTGGTTAGTTATGTTGGAATTACAGTAGACTGAAGAGATGAGGTCTTTGAAAGTGGCAGTGTATGTACTATAATCTGAAATAGAGTCAACCATGTTTGATTTTATTGCTCTACACTTTATATAGAGCTCCACTTGTCTATGTGATCTTTTTTACAGATTTTCTTTACACCAGCACATGTGGGAGTAAAATTGGATGATTTGCTGAATAAATTACGGAGCTATGAAAAAATGTGTTGCCATAACGTATATTATTGCAAAACTGAAAAGAAGAATTTCATCCAGCACAAACTAAAGGATAAAAGAAGAAGCTGATGGCATGTTTGAATTAACCTGCTTGGGGAGCCTGGGTCAAAAATAAACCCCCCATTAACCCGTGCATTACCTTCCTCTCTGTGCAGTATTCAGTTTTCTTCACACAAACAAATGAAAGACAAAGTAATCAAGGTATATCCATGTAATGACAGGGGCTGCTCAACAAGATGGGACCTCAAGATCAGATAATAATAAAGCAAAAGGCCAGTTCATCTGATCTTGTAATTTAGTGGTTTCAATTCTAAAAGCAAGTGTTTAATCAAATTGTACAGGACACTAAAAGACATACAGTGATGTGTGGAAATAATATAAATTCCAAAATAAAGGACAGGGAGATGATGTGTTTATATTTGATGCAATAAATAAATG